AAATCTAGTCTTTGATTATTTTTTGTCTATCACAGCCTTTGTGTAGTTTTATTTCATGTAGCGGATCTCACTCCCCTGATGGAATCACAACATTACAGCCCAATCTACACTTTTAGTAACAATAAAAGATATATTGGGACAAAACTAGTGGCCTCAAATCAAATCATTTCCTAATATGGCCCAATTAGCCAAATTTTTTTCTTTTTTTTTTTATATTAAAGCCATTTAAAATCTTTATTAAATTCAGGATGCTGCTTTGGGAGTCCCGGCTGCTTTCTACTCGGATCTGCTCCCTCCGCGCCGTCTCTTTCCCTCCTCCTCCGCCGTCATGCAAACTCACAAAACCAAGGTCTGCATCGTCGGAAGTGGCCCCGCGGCACACACAGCAGCGATCTACGCAGCTAGAGCGGAGCTCAAGCCTCTCCTCTTCGAAGGAGCGATGGCTAACGACATCGCTCCTGGAGGTCAATTAACAACCACCGCCGACGTCGAGAACTTCCCTGGCTTCCCCGAAGGCATCCTGGGAATCGAAATCGTCGAGAAGTTCCGAAAACAATCGGAGCGATTCGGTACAAAGATCTTCACGGAGACGGTTAACAAAGTCGATTTCTCCTCGAAGCCGTTTAAGTTATTCACCGAATCCAGAACCGTACTCGCCGACGCGGTCATCATCTCCACGGGAGCTGTAGCGAGACGGTTAAGCTTCACTGGATCTGTTGAATTTTGGAATCGAGGGATCTCGGCAAGTGCTGTACGCGACGGAGCAGCTCCGATCTTCAGGAACAAGCCTCTGGTGGTTATCGGCGGGGGAGATTCGGCTATGGAAGGAGCGGATTTTCTGAGTAAGTATGGATCTACGGTTTATATAATCCACAGGAGAGATACGTTCAGAGCGTCTAAGATCATGCAGAAGAGAGTTTTATCAAACCCTAAGATTGAAGTGATTTTGAACGGTTCGGTGGTGGAAGCCTACGGAGATGAGGAGGGGAAAGGTGTTCTTGGAGGGTTGAAGGTGAAGAATGTTGTTACTGGTGCTGTCTCTGCTGTGAGGGTGGCTGGACTGTTCTTTGCTATTGGTCATGATCCAGCTACGAAGTTCTTGGAGGGGCAGCTTGAGCTTGATGATGATGGTTATGTTGTGACTAAGCCTGGTACTACGAAGACTAGTGTGGCTGGTGTGTTTGCTGCGGGTGATGTGCAAGATAAGAAGTATAGGCAGGCTATCACAGCTGCAGGAACTGGTTCGTTTTTTTTGCTTATCTTTGCACAGTGAGTTAGTGTTTTGAATCAAGAATCATAAAAGCAACATGATATGCTATGTGTGGTTGTTGCATCCTATCATAATGTGAGTATTTGGTAATTAGGTGTTTGAAAGTCATAAGCTTTTTCTCTGATGGGCCCTGTCATGTTCTCGAAGTGACTTGTTTTGTGTATCATTAGAATCACTTTAACAGAGTAATCAATGCCTGATTTGTGTTTTCTATACAGTGGTCCTTTGTTGTGGCGGTATAAGCTTATCTATTTCCGTTTGCATACACTGCAACTGATATGCTACGTGCGCTTGTTATATGATATGATAACGTTTTTAAGGAGTATTTGTTAGTGAGGTGTTTGGTTAAGTGATAAATGTTTACCTGCTTAGTGTGATTGTTTGATTGATATGTTCAAAGGGAGTCTGGTTATTGAAAGTCATTAGTTTTTCTCTGATTGGCCCTGTCAGTGTTCTAATAGTGACTTGTTGTGTATCATTTCACTTAACAAAGCAGTCAAGGCATGATTTGTCTTTGATAAAGAGTGATCCTTTGTTGTGGCTTTTTGGCTGTACTAGCTTCTTTACTTTCATTCTTATACTCTATTGAAGAAACTGTAATGGTCATTGATTATTGGTGGGATGTCTTGAGAGCCTCCTGCAAGTTAAATTAGACTGTTTCAAGTATAATGTTCTCTTTCTAGAAAAAGAAGCAGACATAGTTAGCTATTTTCACTGCTGATGACTAAGTTGAAATCAGATTGTTCTCGGGTGGTCTAAGATGATTGCGTGTCTCCGTCAAAACCCAATTTGCATACCTTTCTACAAAGTGATACTTTCAAGTGTAGCGTTTTTCATTTCCACTTTCATAAGAAACTCTGACCACAACTTATGGGTGGTGCAGGGTGCATGGCCGCCTTGGATGCAGAGCATTACTTACAGGAGATTGGATCTCAAGAGCTTAGAGTGATAAGAGAAGCCGTCGGAGAAAGACCAATTATAAGTGCTCTCTCTCTCTCTCTCTCTTCACCCTTATTTACTGTGTCATTTGCAGAACCGTCAAAAAGCTAATATTGATGAGGGAGTTTGACTAAAGTTTTTATATGCGTTTGCAGTTAAGTTTGGTCAAGTTGTAAGAGCAGATCCAGTCACGGTATTTAGAGAAAAACCCGAGAGTGAAAGGTAACAAAAATACATGAAAAAAACACTTAAATGAAAAGCTTGAGAACCAGTCCTCGTAAGAGATACTATGAAAAACCCTTGAGAACTTTAGCCAAATAACACATGTCACTTTATAGATGACCAAAACTATTGTCATTAAAACAAAAACACCTACACCTTAAACCCTAATTATATGTTTATATGATATTAAACCTTTTTTAAAATAAATTATGAAATAAAATGATCTATCTAACAAGATTCTAATATGCGTAAATGACAATTATATATTAATATTAGTTTAAATTGAAATTAGTGAAGTTTAATATATTGGGTTTTTAATTAATGTAATAGTACTAAAAATTAAAAAAAAAATTGAAACTAGAAAAAATATTATTAATATTTGATTAAAAAATAATTATGTGTAATTATTAAATTTTCTATATATTGTATATAGACCCTATATTTAGCTTATCAAATCTCATAACATTTTGTATCTTTCCTTTTCATATGGATTCTAATAATCCATTCAATTTCCCTATGAAAGAAACACTGCAGATCTTTTTATACTATTTTACCTTCAATCCAAATGGGTCCGTCAGAACAATATCCAATATGATAATATGGGTGGAGAAGACAATGATCTAAACCAAACTAAGAGCACAACCGATGATTGTAGGCAAACAAGAAACAAGTGGAGCCCAACTGAAGATGGTGTTCTTATTAGTGCGTGGTTAAATACAAACAAAGAGCCTAATGTGGGTACTAATGAACCAAGAGCTGCTGCTTTTTGGAAAAGAATTGCTGCATATTATTCATTAAGTCCTGCAGTTGCAAGTCTAGCAAAACGAGAATGGAATCACTGTAAGCAAAGGTGGCAGAAAATAAATGATAGTGTTTGCAAGTTTGTTGGATACTATGATAATGCTTTGAGTCAAAGAAGTCGTGGCCAGTCGGAAGATGAAGTTCTCCAAGTTGCATACGATAACTACTTCAACTATTACAAATGTAGATTCACGCTTGAACATGCATGGAGGAAGCTCCGTCATGATCCAAAATGGCGTAGTTATTACATGTCTCAAAATTCCAAGACTAGTGGAAGTTCAAAACGACCAAAACTGAATGAAGTTGTCACAGTTTCTTCAAGCTCTAACACAGAAAGTAACGTAGAGGAACTAGCTGTGTCTCGTCCTGTGGCTGTGAAGTCACCAAAGCTTAAAGAGAAGATGGTTGTTACTGAAACAACAACGAATGAAGAAGAAAGGGAGTCCAACCCTCGATCAAAGCTCGAGAAGTTGTGGGCTCTAAATGAGAAAGACATAGTTGAGAGGAATAAGCTATCAAGGATAGAGCTGCTTAGAAGCCTTCTCGAAAAAACAGGAAAACTTTCAGAAAAAGAAGAAGCTTTGAAGAACAAACTCATCGATGAGATGCTCTAATCTTAAGCTTGTATCGTGCAACTTAATATATATATATTGTAAAAATATGCTTTAGCTAAGGTGATAAATTCACGTCCAAGACTTCCATTCTCAAGGAGTGCTTTTGGGTTGGATGTAGGAGCTAGTGTAGATTAATCTAGTGATAGTTGTTTTTTGCATACGTCACCTGTTGTTTGAATTTGCGATTCCCTCTTGTGGTGGTGGGCTATGTTTCTGAGGATTTTTAGGTGTTTTTCACCGGTTTTTGGATTTTACCCTTGTATGTTTATCAGATGTTAAGAAAAAACACTGTCTAGTGTTTGTCTGGGTTTTGTAAAGAGAAAGTATTAGAGAGATGGGATCTGATTTGGTTATATAGTGTTTTTGTTCGGTTATTGAGTGCAAATTCAATATTTGTCTTCCATCCAGTAAAGAAAAGAATGTACAAAATTTCAATTTCTGTATAAAATGAATGGTACAACATTCTGGCTTGCAAGGAAATGTAACCCAATGTTTTAATATTCAATCAAAACGATTCTATCCTTGTTCTCGTCGATGTTCTCCAAAGCGTTGCATATATTAATATTAATAATAATTCGCAATATGAAAACTTTAATTTCATTTTTATAGAAATAAATATTTGATTCAATTGAAAAATATAGTCGGTCAAAGTGAAAGGTAATAAATTCAAATAAATGTGGGCGAACTATTCAATTATTGTGGGAGATGTGTTGGACCCCAATGAGCCGTTTAAAATCATTATTAAGCAGAGCAGGCGGCTTCCTACTCGGATCTGCCCTCTCCAAGCCGTCTCTAGCCTCCTCTTATTCATCCCCCAACTCCTCCGCAGCCGTCATGGAAACTCACAAAACCAAGGTCTGCATCGTCGGAAGCGGCCCCGCGGCACACACAGCAGCGATCTACGCCGCTAGAGCGGAGCTCAAGCCTCTCCTCTTCGAAGGATGGATGGCTAACGACATCGCTCCAGGAGGTCAATTAACCACAACAACCGACGTCGAGAACTTCCCTGGCTTCCCGGAAGGTATCCTCGGAATCGACATCGTGGAGAAGTTCCGAAAACAATCGGAGCGATTCGGTACAAAGATCTTCACGGAGACGGTTAACAAAGTCGATTTCTCGTCCAAGCCGTTTAAGCTATTCACTGATTCGAGAACCGTCCTCGCTGATGCTGTGATAATCTCCACTGGAGCTGTAGCGAGACGGTTAAGCTTCACTGGATCTGGTGAAGGCGCTGGTGGTTTTTGGAACCGAGGGATCTCGGCGTGTGCTGTATGCGACGGAGCTGCTCCGATTTTTAGGAATAAACCTCTGGCGGTTATCGGTGGGGGAGATTCGGCTATGGAGGAAGCGAATTTTCTGACGAAGTATGGATCTAAGGTTTATATAATTCATAGGAGAGATGTGTTTAGAGCGTCTAAGATTATGCAGCAGAGAGCTTTGTCGAATCCTAAGATTGAGGTTATTTGGAACTCTTCTGTGGTTGAGGCTTTTGGAGATGAGAATGGGAAAGGTGTTCTTGGAGGGTTGAAGGTGAAGAATGTTGTTACTGGTGATGTGTCTGATTTGAAGGTTTCTGGATTGTTTTTCGCGATTGGGCATGAGCCAGCTACGAAGTTCTTGGAAGGGCAGCTTGAGCTTGATGAAGATGGTTATGTTGTGACTAAGCCTGGTACTACGAAGACGAGTGTGGTGGGTGTATTTGCTGCGGGTGATGTGCAAGATAAGAAGTATAGGCAGGCTATCACTGCTGCAGGAACTGGTTCGTTCTTTGCTTCTCTTTGCACTACGAGTTAGGGTTTTGAAATCATTACTGAACTGTTTCGTAGAAGCAGCATCTGATATGCTATGTGTGCTTGTTATCTGCTTAGCATAATGTAGTTGGTAGTTAGGTGTTTGAAAGTCATTAGCTTCTTATAATAGGTTCTTTCATGTTCTCAAAGTTATTGTTTTGTATATCATTTGACTCACATAACAGAGTAATCGATGCATGATTTGTGTTTGCTATATAGTAGTCCTTTGTTGTGGTGGTAAATGCTTATCTACCTTCATGTTATACACTGTAATGGTCATGAATTGTTCTAAGCTGTGGTTTTTAATCTATCATAGAAGCATACATATATGATAGCATAATGTTTAAAGGAGTATCTGGTTGTTTAGGCGTTTGGTTAAGTGAACAACTGTTTATCTACTTAATTTGTTTGATTGATCTGTTGAAAAGGAGTCAGGGTTTTGAAAGTCATTAGCTTTTTATGATGGGTTCTTTCATGTTCTCAATCTGGCTTGTTTTGATTCACTTAAACATGTAGTCGAGGCTGATTTGTGTTTGCTATAGAGTGGCCCTTTGTTTTGTCTTTTTTGGCGGTAAAAGTTTTTCTATTTTCATTCACCTATATGTAATGGTCACTGATTCTTCTAAGGTAGGATGTATGGAGAGCCTGCTATTTAAATTAGACAGGATAGATATAATGTTCTCTTGCTACAAGAAGAAGGATACATATTAACTAAGTTGAAATCAGATTGTTCTCGGCGAGTGTAGGATAATTGTGTGTTTCCGTTAAACCCAATTTGGATTATTTTTTAGACAGTAATTACCTAAAAGTGTAATCTTTTTCCGTTTTCATATTACATAAGCAACTCTGATCACAATTTATGTGATGAGTGCAGGGTGTATGGCGGCCTTGGATGCAGAGCATTACTTACAGGAGATTGGATCTCAGGAGGGTAAGAGTGATTAGAGAAGGAAGGACCCATTTATAAGTTGATCTCTCTTCCTTATTTGATGTGTCATTTGCAGAACTGTCAAAAAATAATATTGATGAGGGAGTTTGAGTAGAATTTTGTTATGTGCGTCTGCAGTTGAACTTGGTTAAGTTGTAACTCTTTAGTGGGTCCAATTTGCTCTTGATTTGTTCCTCAGGTGAGGAAACTTTTTATTTGATATGAGTGTGAAATCTCAGTTTACATTGAACCGATTAGAATGGAGTCTCTATAGCTCAATAAAACTAAATGGTTTTCTATATATATTAGTGGTGTTTAAAATAAAAAAATTGTTGCAAAAATATTTGATGTTCTCACAATAAGAATTTAATATCATTTCAATTTGTGATCAATAACAAAATATCATTTTTTTATTTTATTTATTGGTTAAACTAATTTTATTTAATGATATTTCATGTAATCAAAATAAATTGTATAAAAGAATTCATGTGTAAGAACTTTAAACTGCCACTTATATTGAAACATAGAGAGTATTCTTAGTTTTATATCTATTCCATTCAAATAAAATCTTTTTTATCCAGAGTCTATTTTATAAGAAAGTTATAACAGTTCAACTACAATAGATTTACAATGTTTCTCATAAAAGCTCAATTTCTTCTCATTATTTCAGTTGTCATAATTATATATTCTTACATCATCTCATATTATCAATCACTTAAGACTCACTGAACCCAAAAATATCCGGTTAATTCGTAGTTCAATATAGTTCTCAGTTGAATATGGTATAGTAACTTCCACAAATTAAATTAGATGAGTTACAAAACTGGACTAACATTTATTTTGTTAATTGTTCATCAACATTGAACTGTTTAATTTTCTTATTTATGAGATTTAACGTTTTAAATGATCAAAGATTATATAAACATATACGTGTAAAGTGGTTCTAGTTAATCTCAAAATAAATATAACTTACGTTGTACAACAAAGTAATTAATAAGTACTAACATAAGTTTTAAACTCTACGTTAGTTGTGTCTTCCTTCTCTCTCTCGACCTCTCCTTTCACTCATGATCACAACATCCCAGAGTCAGAGATATTTGTTACGGTTTCTTGTGCTCCACGGTGGAGCTACGGCCGCCGCCGGAGCTCCCTTCAGCGAGAAAACGCTCTCTCAGACACCCACTTGGGCCGTCGCAGTTGTCTGCACATTTCTCATCCTCATCTCCCATCTCCTTGAGAAGGGTCTTCAAAGACTCGGCAATGTCCGCTTCAATACTTCTTAAGTGTTTTTGTCCTAACATTCAATGTCTGAACCATCTTCATTTTTTTCTTTGCAGTGGTTATGGAAAAAGCAAAAAAACTCTCTGCTTGAAGCCTTAGAGAAAATCAAAGCGGGTAAGTAATGGTTGATATTGTATCAAAGCTTGATTTGTTTTTTTTTTCAAGAAACTAAAAAATGGTGATTGATTCTGCAGAGCTGATGATTCTTGGATTCATTTCCTTATTACTCACCTTTGGAGAAACATACATTCTCAAGATCTGTGTGCCTTCAAAAGCTGCTCTCTCTATGTTACCATGTCCATCTGAAAACACCAATACTTTGGCTCCATCCCTTAGCAGACATCTTTTGGCTGCTGGTGATTTATCTGTTAATTGCAAAAATGGATCTGAGCCACTCATAAATGTGAAAGGCTTGCACCAACTTCACATCTTGTTGTTCTTCTTGGCCATCTTTCATGTCCTCTATAGTTTAATCACCATGATGCTTAGTAGGCTTAAGGTATGAAGATTCTAGTTTTGATCAAAATGTTTGATGGAGTTTAATAATGATGTTTCATTTTGTCTTGGCTACGTTGGAGATACGTGGATGGAAAAAGTGGGAGGAAGAGACATTATCTCATGATTATGAGTTTTCTATTGGTAAGTTCTGTTCAAATCCCTGACATTTGTCTTTTTTTTTAAATGTTTTTAATACTTTCTTTGCCTGTGGAGCAGATCAAACAAGACTTAGGCTCACTCATGAAACTTCTTTTGTGAAATTGCATACAAGTTTCTGGACAGCAATTCCTTTCTTCTTTTATGCTGTAAATAAACCATTTCTTCTTTCTCTTCCAACTGCATCAAACGTGTTCTTGATTTAGATTTTGAATATTTTGAGCTCTCTGCAGGGGTGCTTCTTGAGGCAGTTCTTTGTATCTGTGGGAAGAATTGATTATTTGACTCTTCGCTACGGATTCATCTCTGTGAGTTTTAAAAAAAAATCGTCCACCTTCCCCTTTTCTTTATTTTGCAATCTTTGATGTGTGAATCTTGTGGTCTGCAGACTCATTTAGCTCCGGGAATAAAGTTCAACTTCCAGAGATATATCAAAAGATCTCTCGAGGATGATTTCAAGTTAATAGTTGGAATAAGGTATACCACAATCCATAAACATAATATGCAAATGAAATCATTTGGTTGGTCCTATATAACTTTTTCTTAATATTTTTGTTTTGCTCCACAGTCCAGTTCTTTGGGCATCATTTGTGATATTCTTTCTGTTTAATGTTAATGGTGAGTTACACATCTGTCTTTATATTTTCAAATTCATTTCATGTACTGAAATGTATCTATTTAATTTCCAGGATGGAGAACATTGTTTTGGGCATCAATTCCTCCTGTGCTAGTAAGACTATCCCTCTCTCTCTACTTACGCTAAACCTGCTATGAAGTTCTTTTGTCTCAATTTAAAGTCTTGTAACAGATAATTTTAGCTGTTGGAACAAAGCTTCAAGCGATTTTGGCAACAATGGCGCTAGAAATAGTAGAGACACATGTAGTAGTACAAGGGATGCCTCTAGTACAAGGTTCAGATAAATACTTTTGGTTGGATTGCCCTCAACTGCTTCTTCATCTTATTCACTTTGCCTTGTTTCAGGTAATAACACTATGAAAACCATGTCTTGAGCTTCTTTTTTCTTCTTTTATATTCCTGTATAATTAACGTATATTTTCTCTGTGTTCTGCAGAATGCTTTCCAGATAACACACTTCTTCTGGATATGGGTAAAAAAAAACAAGAAGCACTTCCTTTTAATTTAAATATTATGGAATTATATTACTGAGAATAACATACATATAATATAAACCTTGGGGCTTGCAGTATTCTTTTGGATTAAAATCATGCTTCCATAAAGATTTCAACCTTGTAGTCATAAAACTCTTTCTATGGTAAAACGCTTATTCGAAACCTTAATTATGTTTCTTACAATAGAAATCTTTTATTTGAAAACATGTGAGGATGTATGTATATGCAGCCTAGGAGGTTTGATATTATGCAGCTACATCACTCTCCCGTTGTACGCTCTGGTGACTCAGGTAATTTGTAAACAACATTTTTTTTTGATATTCTAGTCATGTGACCTCTTAATGAGAGTAGCCTTGAATGTTGAAACGATGAAATGATGAATGTTGTGTTGATGTGTGAGCAGATGGGTTCACACATGAAGAAAGCAGCGTTTGATGAACAAATGGCAAAGGCACTGAAGAAGTGGCACAAGAAAATTAAAATAAAGAAAGGAAAAGGAAGGAAGCTCCCGAGCAAAACACTTGGTGGTTCGGGGAGTTTTAGCATCTCTCCCTCTTCCTCTGGAACCACTCTGCATCGTTCTAAAACTACTGGTCACTCTTCTAACGCCATATACTACAAACAAGAAGTGGAACACGACGAGATGTCTGATCTTGAAGCTGGTGCAGAGGATGCCACTGAAAGGTTTCAAGAACAGCATAAGCCATTCCACCACTCCTAGTTGTTTTCTGTTTTTAGTGTACTCTTATTACTTAAAGATTGAGATGAACAATTGTAGGAATTTATATCATTTTATAACGTTTTACAATATGCATATGAATTCGGTTCTCGTTAATCTCATGCAAATATTGAAACAAATTAAGATTTAAGAATGTCAAATATACCTAAATATTCTACAGAGAAATAAACAAACTCAAACCAAGGTTTTAGCTTTCTCAAAGTTGTGTCTCTATCGGTATTCAAACACACACAAAGATCTGTATGGAATGTTAGTGTCATCGAGATCAAATCTCAAAAATCTGACAAATTGTTAGTCTCTTTAGGTTTGGTCTAAAGTTGGTAGAAATAAATTCCGGTGGTAAAGGAATATCATGACATTTTAAGCAAAAAAAAGATATCATGACATATTCATTTCTACACCATGGAATGATCCATTTACTATCAGCGCTGATAGCGAAAACACCATATCGTATGGCTTCTGCGAACTAACCGAATTGAACAAACAATTGGAGAGCTAATGGAGAAAGGGTTTATTATACCAATTTCATAGTCATGGGAAACTCTTGTCCTGTTTTTGAAGAAGAAATATAGAAGTATGTGGTTATGCACATATTAGTGGGGCATTAATAATGTCAGTTGGTTTTCGAAGCAGACATCATGAAGATCGCTTTTCGAACATGATATGACTATTATGAATTTGTTGCCGTATGGTTTTACAAATACGCCGGCTGCTTTTATTGGATTGATAAAGGATTTATTCGTGATTACTTGGATAAATTTATAATCCTCTTCATCAATGATATATACTTATTTATTTCAAGAGTAATTAAGAAGTAACATGCAGAGCACGTCTATAAGTTAGTGGAGCGATTGAGAAGCTAGAAGTTGTTCACCAATTTTAGTAAATACTAGATTTTGACTCGGGTATATTTTTGTTTTAGTTTTTTTGAGAAATTTAATGTTTTAATTTTGTATTTTTTTATATTTAATCATTTATGATTAATATTAAAAAGTTAGTGTTATTGATATAAAAAATAATTGAATAATAAATAGTTGGACCAAATATTTATCAATTAGCATGATCATATTTTTATAGATATAGTTAATATATAGACTAATAAAATTCTAAAGATATTGTTTATTAGTATAATTTATGACAGTTATAATTTTCTTTCTAATAAAAGGTTAAAATCGAAATCAAAATAGTTTCTCCTCTTTTAATAACATTGTATTGGTTTTTACATGGTATTGGCCTTAACACCGGAAATCATAATTATTGATCACACATTCAAATATATTACGCAGCTGTCTATCTTAATTTGTATACAGATGAAAATAGTTATAAGATAAAATGGTGAGAGTGATGAGTTCAGAAAATCTAGGAATAAGGAGAGGTTTATAACATATATATCAATACTCGTAATAAGTAAGATATGTAAAAATTGTTAGTTTATTTAATGGTAGTCCAATAACACAAAAATAATATTCTAGGATATACCAAGAATAAATAATAAGAGTGATCATAAATTAATAGTATTAATATCCGTCTTTTGAAAAGATGGATAAAGATCTAGTTTTTAGTTATTTTAGGATAAATTTGGATAATATTAGTATATTAATTATGATATATAAAAAAAGATATGGATATATTTTTGTATTCTTTATAAATCATAAGTATGTTTGTGTTAATAGAACTATTTTACAATATAAAGAAAATATAAGAAACTTAAGATTATAATTTTTGGTCAAGTGAAAACATTAATCGAAAGTTCATTTAAGTCTGTTTTCATGTTTAAAGCTGATAAAATATCATTTATTGCCAACAAATTTTTAATTAAAAGGCCTAAAGGATGAAAAATAAGATTACAAATGTGCACAACAAATAAAAATAAACCACAAAATAATATTCAAAAAATGGAAATTATAGTGGAGTACACGTGTATTGTTGCAGTTATTTTCAAAACAATCTGGACACTTTCACTTCTCAAAGCTTACATCATCATCATCTCATATGCAGTTTGGCCCTAGAAAGTTTTCGCCGCCGACGTCGAATGCGTCTTCATTGTGAGGCCTCTGTCACTTGCTTACACCAAATTGCAGCATTTTAGGATGATAACCGGAAAAAATTGGAAGAATTTGTGATCTCCGCCTCAGGATTGTCTTAAAAGAGAGTATTCTTGTCATCATCTAAATTATCGTATTCTGCTCTAAACCAACCTAACCATTTTAACCATTCACCCAAAGAAAAGTTTCACCGCATAATCGCTTATAGTGAGAGTAAAAAGTTACTTTCATCTGTGAAAGAGTTATGGTGAAAATAAATTGATGAATAGAACTTTCTTACGAAAGTAAAAACATAATCGTTTTTATAAGATAGAAAAAGACGTGGTTAGTTTTTAAATAAAACTGAATACAATTATATAAAAATAATAATAAAAGGAATAAATATTTAGATACAACATATATCAATTAGTCATGTTTCTAATTTAATAGAATTGATAGCTTCTGAGAAGGAGATTGGATTCCTTGATTGAGTGACAATCATATCTTATAAATAAGTTCGTTTGGATTAAATCACTAATTTTAGATACAAAATCAACTAAATTAGATATGATTGTCAAAAGAATAGTTTATATTTTCTCATTGAGTTGATAAAATCGTTTGGATTAGATTGACATCTAAACACAAATTAGTTTTGACTACGATCTTTTAAAAATATTTTAAAAGATATTTTGTAAAATGCTTTGAGATTTTAAAATATGAGGATATATATTATTCACATCAAATTTTCAAATGATTAGTTTGATGATGGTTATGGTCTGATTAAAAATGGTAAAATTGTATTTACCAATGGATTATATTGATTTTATTCAGCTGTTAGTATAAGATTTTGATTTGCTCATGAGTCTATAGACAGACACTTTAGCTATATGGATAAACCTATGTTTGGTTTCTGATGATTAGGGTATTTTAATGAATGACTAAGATATATTACAACTGATTAATATTGATTTGAGTAAATGATAGTATAACATTGGTTTAGGGATAATTTCGTGTCGCTTTTTATGTATTCATTTAGCAACTGTTTTGTTTATGATAATTATGGTATATCTATAATTGTTATATACATTTTAGTAGAAATTGTAACATTTCATGTATACAGTTTTAACAGATTTTACTCGTGCCCCTGCTCACAAAAGTAAGAATGATTTAATGACGATGAACAATTGTATAATAGAAATTGTACTTGGGTTTTATTGGAAATGTTATTGTTTAGGATGTATATTAATTTTTATTAAAAATATCATGTGTGAGTATATCATGTAGTTTATTAAATTACTAACTAATGGTTTAATTATATTTTTGTATATTAGTTTTTAGTAGCTTTTTAACAACGAATTACTATTTTTAGTATTTAAATTGATGTGATCTGGATAACTAAATTATAATAAAATAATTAATAAAAAATAATTCTCTATGAAAAAATTTTAAAGTTCTTGAAATCTCAACAAATATTTGAAAATTTTAATTCTCTTGAATTCTGCTGCAACTTGTAATTATATTTTAAGAGAATAGCTACACATTAAAATAGTGGCAAACTATTAGGCTAAGAGGTTTCACATGTTTTACAACCGTGTTATCTTTTGTCCCAAATTTCTTTTTTTTTTTGGCTTTTTGTTTAACACCACTTGTGCTCGTAATTAATAATCACTGCTTCTTAATTAATGATCTGGTTAGTTTACATTACTTCATACAAGTTATACACTTGACTACTAGGAAACAAGGCTTCTCCTTCCTTTCTCAATGCTGTTGTATGATCCCTAAAACACTCCTTACCATTGCTAATTTTGGTAATGATCACTAACTAATTATTAAATTGATTTCGTTTCAAGAAAGAAAACAAATGATAATATGCAAATATTATTGGAACAGTAGTAAATATAGAGTAATGTTTGGGTTCAGCCCTAGAATGAATTTATAAGTTTACCAACCAATAAAGTTTCATTATTTATATTCAGTAATTTTTGAAAAAAGAAACAAAATAATCTTGAGTTATATTATATTTTTAAAATTAAAAGACAAAAATAATAGTAGTTGTAAACAAATTTTTTTTTTTTTTAAATATTTTTTATACCGTTAGCAAAACCTTAAACCCTAAATCATAAATTCTAAACCCTAAACTCTTAGGTAAATCCTCAACCCTTAGATTAATCTTAAATCATAGTATTTATGAATAATCCAAAAGTTTAGAGTTCAGGGTTTAGTGTTTTGATGACGGTATTAAAAATATTTTTTTAAAAGTCAAGGATTTATTCAGAGGTTTAGGGTTTATATAAAAGTTTTAAGGTTTAAGATTTAGAGTTTAGTGTTTTTATAGTAGTATTAAAAAAATTTAAAAAAAATTTACAACTACTATTATTTTTATCTTTAAATTTTTAAAACATAATATAACTTGATTATGTGTATATATATATATTTTAAAAATACTAAATATAAAATAACGTAGTTATATTAGTTGGTAAACCTAGAGTTTTAACCTAGAAATTCTCGTAAATATATACATTATGAGATATAAAACGAATTTGTTGACAGTATCAGTTTAAGAAAAGAACAAAGGAAAAACTACATAGAAAACAAAACATGATTTTGCTTTCAGTAAATAATATAAGAAAAAAAGAATATCCATAAGAATCGGAGAAAGTGGAAAGAACGTGACACACTGACATACGCCGAGTTTACAGATAAACTGATTGAGAGAGCCAATATTAAAAACTTGAAATTCCTCACAACATTATTTCTTCATGTATCATAGTAATCAAATCATACGATCATTTTTAATATTTTTTTTTTTTTTTTTTTTTAACTGGCTTTCATATTAAATTTTTTTTTTTTTTTTTTTTTTTTTTTTTTTTTCATACAGTACAGCTGGAAATTAAACAAAAACAAAAAAGAAAACAGAACCAAACCATGCGAACAAACCGGCTGCTAAACCGGGAAAGACTTGAAAACCCTAAACTAAAGAAGGGGAGGGCAAAAGTGGAGACGGCCGCCACCGAATAGAACCCGCCGGAACCTTCCTACATAGAGGCGCCACGTCGACTGCGGTTAATCGCCTTAAGGCCGGAGCTCCATAGCATGACTAGCCGGAAGATGAAGCAGCTTCCGTCGGAAAGGTCGCCGGAGAAGCAAGGAAGCAAATGAATCGCCACCAGACAGGACAGAGAACCCCCTCAAAGAAGAAAACCTGAAAAGAAAAGGAAAGCGCAAAAGGGTCAACAGAAATCACCGGATCTGGTCGGAATCGTCGGTACGGAGCAAACGCTTGGATAGACCTAGGTCGCACCCCGCAGTCCACTCGCCTCCTCCGCCTCCAGAGTCTCCCGTCTCGACTCAGTCCGCCGTCCTCAAACGAACATGCAAGCCGATAGTTAGACCACCAGAGGTCCAGATCTGGAGACACCAACCACCTCTACGACAAGCCACCACTCCAAGGAGACCCGAACCATCTCGCCTCTTCGCCGGAGAACACTCGTCCGCCGTGGATCTAGAGAAAAGAACCGAGGAGAGCTTGGGGTCCACGTGCTAGATCCGACCCCTCAGATCCTACACGCGAAGCTAGAGCCACGGCCAAAAACACCAGACCACCGCGCAAAAACCACCACCGCCTTGAAAGCTACACCCTGCGTATCGTTACTGAGGATTTAAGTCTTCAAAGACCACAGCGCAAGGCGGAGAAGAAAAGAGACGGAAGGGGGGCCCTCTCACGGTGTAAACGGTCGGAACCGATCACCGGAGAGGCGAACGAGAATCACCGGAGTCGCTCTTTAAAGAGAGAAGAGAGAGAGGAAATCAATATCACGTTCCAAATTTAAATATTTGATTTTTAATATATTAAATTACAGTTCACGTCAAATCTTTAAGATTACAAATATCTTTTTTAAAATTAATAATTTGCAGGTGGAGAGAAGAAAGAACTAAGGAAGAATGAGAAGACGAAAGAGAAAACAGCTGTCATTGTTTCAGCCTATACAAAAACCGTTGTGAATCAATCAATCTCCTTCATCTTCATCCTCTCTTCTCCTCAGATGATGACGATGATCGATAAACCTTTGGATTCGACGAACCACGTCGTTGAAGAGATCATGAGAATCCACAGATCCTTACCTCCAAGACCAGACATCGACGACGTCGAAGCCGCCACTTCTCTCATACACAACGTCGAAAACGACGATCAGAACCGCTTGGACGCCATTGACAGACAGATCAGAACCTCCGACGTGCCTCGGGAGCTTTTCGACGTGTTGCAGGAGATGAGGAGAGGTTTCGTTCGTTTCCAGAGCAAAGAACAGAAGAGAGAAGCCACGAAAGTGCTCGATCTCGAATCTGCACACGTGGTGTTCGACGAATTGATTCAGAGAGCTTCTCATTGCGTTGCTTCTCCTCCTTCCTTTGATACCTCTCTGTCTCGGCCTCCACCGGTTGTTTCTCCGGCGAGTTTGTGTTATTCCGATCAGACTCATGCCAAGTCCAAGGAGATGTTCACGCGAGATGATACGTTTGTTACTAAGGTTAAATCTTCGCTGTATAGTGACGGTTTCTTAGCTCCTCGTAAGCCTCAGGCTTTGGATTCAACACTTCAGGCTAAGAAAGTCACTGGTGAGTTCATGACTTGTTTACCATCACATATGTGTAGGCCATGAACATTTTTTTTTGGATAGAATCTAGCTTAAGATGTGTAATGGTGTTTTCATGTGAAGTATTCTAAAAATTGGTTTAGGCAGCGCCTAGTCGGCAAATCGGTGTGAGCCAAAAAAAAAAAATTTGAAACCAATATTTTAAAAAAAAAAGTCTAGACGTTCAAAAAATCGGCCAAGGCTCTCGCCTAAACAATAATCCTTTATAAGACGCCTAACCATAGCCTAGCGGTTTTTAGAACATTGTGATTTGATTAGTTTTACTAATAGTAGGGGAATCATTGTGTGTAGGCCAGGAAGGGGAGAAGATGAGTCTCATAAAGCTTGCTACTTTGATTGAAGTGTCTGCCAAGAAAGCTACTCAGGAGCTGAATTTACAGCACAAGCTGATGGATAATCTCGAGTGGCTTCCAGATTCTATAGGCAAGTTATCGAGTCTAGTTAGGCTGGATCTGTCTGAGAATTGCATTATGGCGCTGCCAGCGACTATAGGAGGGCTTTTGTCTTTGACGAGGCTGGATTTGCATTCGAACAGAATCGGTCAGCTCCCTGAGTCTATAGGAGATTTGATGAACTTGGTCAACCTGAATCTTAGTGGAAACCAGTTGACGTCTCTGCCATCATCGTTCAGTAGATTGATCAATCTCGAGGAGCTTGATTTGAGCTCTAATAGCCTGTCTGTTCTCCCTGAAACGATTGGTTCTCTCGTGGGTCTCAAGAAGCTTGACGTTGAAACAAACAATATCGAGGAGATTCCGCATAGTATCTCAGGTTGTTCTTCCTTGAAAGAGCTCCGTGCAGATTACAACAGGCTTAAAGCTCTTCCGGAAGCTGTTGGGAAGATAACTACCTTGGAGATTTTGAACGTTCGTTACAATAACATCCGGCAGTTACCTACGACAATGTCCTCCATGGCTAACCTCAAAGAGCTAGATGTGAGTTTCAACGAGCTCGAGTCAGTACCAGAGAGCTTGTGTCATGCTACAACGCTTGTTAAGCTGAACATTGGGAACAATTTTGCCAACCTGAGATCACTACCGGGGCTAATAGGCAACCTTGAGAAGCTGGAAGAGCTTGATATGAGCAATAACCAGATCCGTTACCTTCCTTACTCTTTCAAAGAGCTTTCACAGCTGCGTGTTCTTCACACACATCAAAATCCACTTGAAGAGGTTCCAAGGGATATAATCCAAAAGGGAGCTCAGGTTATTACTTTATCTACGTTTAGTCCTTTTTGTCCTGTCTTTGCTTGTATGGATGATTGATTGTATTATTATGTTTGTCATCCTCTCAGGCCGTGGTTCAGTACATGAATGATCTAGTGGAGGCAAGAAACAGCAAATCTCAAAGAAGTAAGCAGAAGAAGAGCTGGGTCGACAGAATCTGCTTTCTCTGCAAGTCCACGAACAAGAGAACAGGGAGCCACTCTTGAACAAAATCTGACTTCTTACCATCAGGTTGATTTCTTGCTTACAACACAACTCCTGAAAGTCTAATCAAAGATCCCAATGTATACTTTCTTGTATTTGTTCATACCTGACTAGATCATGAGGAAAATGTAATTCAATTGCGTCATCTCTCAAAGTGTTTGTATTCTTGTTTCCCTTGTTGTAACTTTCTTCTTTTTGAGTGCTGAATTGTAATTCAATGCTTGTTTCGTTTTAATGTACCAAAACATGGGCTGTGGATATTTACCTTCATTCTCTGAAGTAAATCAGATCGATTCACAAATCACAAACACGTTCCCTCTGCTTTTTTTTTTGTTTTTAAGTTTACCCACTTAGCCACCGGAGCCGTATAGACGTCCAGTAAACTTAATCTATAGTACAACCTCTATAAATTAATAATGTAAATTTAAAATTTTATTAATTTACAGTATATAGATATTAATTTACGAAATTTTTCTTATTTAAATTTGTTAATTTTAGTAATATTGTACCTAAAACCACATTTAAATTATTTATTGTATTAATATATATTTTCTGTATATAACAAAATCACAAATAAAAGAGAAAAATGGATGAGACAATGTTAAGGGTTTTTAGTAATAAAACCCCCCAACTAAAGATAAATCGTAAAAAAACTCATCAACTAAAGATTTAATGAAATAAACCTTCAATTTTAGTTTCGTTAACGTCTGTTACCCTCCATCACGGTATTTTAGACGAAGGGTGATATACGTTAACATAACTAAAGTCGAGAGTTTGTTTCCTTAAATCTTTAGTTGAAGTTGTTATTTAACAATCTATCTTTAGTTGAGGGATTTTATTACTAAATGAGATTAATTTTTTTAAAATCTTTATGATTATTTGTGCATTATTTAAGACTCTTACAATTGGTTTAAAATCATTTATAAAATTTTATTTATTATTTTATCAATTTTATAACCTATTTATAAAACTTTATAAATATTTTCATACTTTTATAAATTGTTAATAAGGTTTAATGATGATTTTATAAACTATTGTCTGCTATTTGTTAGGATAAAATAATACATGGGTATTTTTTCTGATATCACGAAAATATGAAGTAAATCAATAAAGCTTTATAAAGAAGGAAACACATAAAGTTTTCTTATATTAATATTGTGAAATATCAAATATTTTGAGATTTCTAAATTATATAAAAATGTTAGTAGTATTGAGGATAAATAATTAGTTTAGAAATTCAATATTCTTACTTAAAATATGGCAATGACTTTTTTTCTCATATTTACACGATTTCAATTAGAATCATACTTTCTTTTTATTTCTGCACAAATAATGTAGGGTTTTTTTTTTTGGTTTTCATTTCTAAACCAATATCTTATACTCACTCCTACCATGTTAATCAATAAAACTATATCTTTGATTTGATTCTTTTATTTATTTACTTCATGTTTTTGTAGTATGATGAACAACCATATCTTTAATCTTATAAAATCATCATTAACTCTTATTAATAGATTATAAAAGTATTACTATATATATAAAGCTTTATATAGAAGTTATAAAATTGATAAAATAATGTATAAATTTTTATAAATTATTTTAAATCAATTATAAGAGTCTTAAATAATGCATAAATGATAATAAAGATTTTAAAATATTTACTCGGATTCAGTAATAAAACCCCTCAACTAAAGATGGATTGTAGAAAAACCTCTCAACTAAAGATTTAATGAAACAAACTCTCAACTTTAGTTATGTTAATGTATGTCGTCCTCCGTCAAAAATACCGTGACGGAGGGTGACAAACATTAATGAAACTAAAATTGAAGGTTTATGTGAGGGGTAAAACTCACTCTCTAGTTTAAGTTAGGTTTAGATTGGGAAAAAGACAATCGTGGGCTGAATCCTGTTAGAACTTAAAGAATGAATATGATTGTATTTGATGAATAAGGGTTACAAAGATGATTCAAATGAATACAAAGAAATCACTGAATGATTTGTGAGCGATAATGTATGTGAAAATTCGTAAAAAGTGTGAATCCCCTCTCTCTTCATCTCTCCTTCCTTTAAATAGCCTCAGGTCACGTTCAACCTCTCCTGATTAGTCTCCGAGATTACTTCCGTAAATTGAGGGATTTGCAACAGCTTCCTTTTGACCGAATCATATGCCTCTTACTTCGTATCCTGGGCTGTTTTTTGTTAGGTTCCTGAAAGAGAAGCCGGACCTCTTCTTCGTGACCTCTTTCGTCGAAATCCTTGGAGGTAGCCTCTGTCCTTAGGTGCTCGCGCTTGGCCCATTATTAGGCTTAATTTAATTGATCCGCTAATTTCAGCTAACAGGCCATATTTGGGCCCAACAGTTGCCCCCAGCTTTCGAGAAAAGATACTTTTTTTGGGAGCTAAACCTAGCCGCCGAATCTTAGCCTTTCGTTGAGATAATGATTACTCGTGATCTTCTCTCGAGGATACCTTCTACTTGATCCGACGGTCATGATTGAACTTTAACGAAATCAACGACTCAGATTAAAAGAGTTTTGAAATAATTATTCTCTGATTTTCGAGGCTCGACGAGATATAAAGATGTTTACATTAACTTCAACTTCCCCACTCTCTCCACGTCTCGATTCAGTTTCCCCAGGTAACTTCTTCTGGTTCTTTTTATTTTACTGCTTTTTTTTACAGCCTTTTTCTATCAAGTTCAAAACGAGGTTCGAGTAGATTCTCTCTAAAGTTTTACTCCGCGAATTCTAGTTTATTAGTTCAATTTTTTTTTTCTCGATGTCTTTTCTTCGTGCCCTGTTATGACTGAACCGAGAGAAGGCTCTAGAGAGACCGGAATCTCTGCTGCTGGAGCTCGGATCATGAAGGTGAAAAAGGAGGTTGGTGAATCGGTGATGAAGACTGAGAAGAAGAAGAAAACTAAGGAGTCAATAGCCCAGAGAGTTTCCAAGAGAACAAAGAGAACCGGTGGCTCTAAGGAGAGCTTTCCCTCCGGATCTCATCCACCTTCTGCGTTAAAGGGCCAGGAAATCGTCAATCTCATGGTCCAAGCTCTAGGCCGTAAGGAGTTAGTCAGGGCTTGTGAAGGCCATGAAACCCCCGAAATGGCTCCAGAAGGCTGGTTTTGTGTTCACGAGAAGTATATCTCTAAGAGTCATCTTAGGTTTCCCCTCCCTGATCTGTTATTAGACCTCCTGGATCATTACCAACTAGCCTTTTCCCAGCTCTGTCCATCCGTTATTCGAGTGATAAACGGTTTTATCACTAGGTCTAAGGAAGAAGGGGTCGCTGTCGGGATTAATGACTTGATGAGTCTTTTCTCGATAAAGGAGAGTGCTTCGAAGGATGGTGGTAGTGGAACCTACTATCTCTCGAGTCGTCCTGGGTTGGGAATTTTTAAGTTTTCCAGTAGTGACGACGACTGGCGAAAGAAGTACTTTTTCATCAGGATTGATCCTTCGACGGTCCCTGTGGGTCGTACTCTTAGGGCCGTTTGGTCTGATGCATCTGGTTAGAATTATTAGGATTGTATTTATTCATTTTGATTTGCAGTAACCTGATGATTGCCTGGTATTGTTTGCAGATATTGAGGATCCTTCTGTACTTACCGGCAAGCTTACCAGGGCTCTCTTTCGAAAGCTACAGCAAACTCCTTGTACCTGGACCTCTTATACCACTTCTCGAGTAGGTGCAGCTAGATTTCCAGATCGATACAACGCTTCCTTTTTGACTCCAATCCCGATCGCAGAGTTGGAAGGTTACGTATTCATTTATCTCCATACGAGTAAACTTGTTTTTATGAGTTCTGAGTTCTAAAAGAATTTGTTGATGTAGTTTCCGAAGGTGACACAGTAGTTACAATTTCAACGGGAGCTAGTACTTCTGAAACCGAAAGAACCCAATCGACCAAGATGCCTCTTCAACCATCGTTCCAATCCAGGGGTAGGCCAGCGAAAGCAGCCAGAAATTCTCGTGGAAGCGAGAAGAATCAAGGAGGACACTTCCTTAGCTCTGTGAAAGAGGTTCTTGATGACAGAGCTTCCATTCCAGCTAAGGATGCTAACCCGGTCGATGAACAGGGAGCTCAGGAGATAGCTCCTTATTCTGATGTTCAGGTCACGGGAGACGATCCTCAGGTGATGAAGGATCCTTCTGAGACTGAACTCCCCAGGAGCAAGAGGTCACGAACCGATCAAGGTGATAGACCTTCTAGGTCTTCTTCGCCGTCCTCGAGGGGAGGTACCGTTGGGTGGAATTTCGCTCACTCGAAGCCTGGGTCGATTCTTGATGATCCGTGGGGTTTGGCTACGCTGATGAGACACATGAAGCGAACAGGGTGTTCTCTTCCCCCTGTTAACAATCTGACCAACAAGGACGAATTTATCGAGATTGCTCACTACTTGGGCCAGGTACGGATCTTTGCTCCTTTTTTTTTTTTTTTTTTTTTTTTTTTTTTTTGAGAGATATTTATTTCTGTTATTCGTTTCTCTATAGTTGGCTGGAGCTGTTAACATGGCTCAGGTAAAGTTTGAGGAAACAGTGAACAACGCGCCTAACGCTGAGGAGTTAACCCAGGTCACCGAGATGGTTAAGACTACCAAGATTGAGCGTGACCAAGCCAGAGCTCAGGTTTCGACACTTCGATCTGAAGTTGAGAGGCTTGGTTTGAAGTCTGACGCTCAGCAAGGGAAGATTGAGAGCTTGGAAATTGATGTTAAGGTGAAAAGTAGGAGGATTTCTGAGCTAGATAGTGCTCGAAAGATTGCTGAGCAACACGTTCAAGACTTGACTGCATCGTCTCAAGTCAGTCAGAAGAACAAGGAGGCTGAAGTTAAGTTTGCTGTTAGAAGGGGAAAAAAGGAGGTCATCGATGCCTATAATAAGATCCTTATCTCTGTTAAAGAGAAGTTCTCCAAGAAGAAGGATGAGGCTGATCTTCAGATCTACGCTCAGGAGCTTCAAGCTAATACGGAGCTCTTGAAGGATTTGCTATCAAACGAGATTCAAAACGCTGAGGAAGAGTACAATCGTTTGATGTCTTTGATGCCGGAAGCAATTGTTGCTTACGAGAGAGCTCAGGTCTCTGACTTCTCAGTCAGCAAGCTTCCTCTTCGTAAAATCTAAGAGAGCTCAGGTACATTCGAGGTTAACACGTTTAACCATTCTTTTCTGGAGAGTACGGTTCTAATTTAGGTTTGATGGGTCCTGATTTAGCCCCAGTTGATGTGGTTCCGGGAGGTGATGGCAAGGAGATGGATGAAGATGTCCCGGGTAGTGAAGCAA